ATGTAAGCCCCCGCCCTGGTTGTGTTGCGGGGGGGGGGTCGTCTTTCGCGCTGCTCTTTTAACGACGGTGTTGCCCCGCTCCCCACCCACTCCTCCTTCTTCTCCCCGTTCCCGTCCCCCACCCCCCCGGACGACTCGGGCTAGGCCAGGCTCCTCTGAGGCTGCCCTGCCCTCTATCTAAGCTTGTGACTCTTCCCTAAGCCCGACTCCGAATGGCTCCAGCCGCTTCGCGGAAAACTGTGTAGCTCCGCCCCCTCTCACCTCAAACCTCACAATGGGCGGAGGCCACGCCTCTCCATAAACGGATTGGTTTGCGCTGCCGAGCCTCATTCCTCCGCCGCCCGCCGTCGAGCTGTGCTGGAAGGCGCATGCGTCTCACTTTTGGACTGTGAAGAGAGAATGGGTATGTAAGAAGCCGCAGCTATGCGCAGGCGTAGTCTCTTCTCTCTCCCCCCCCCTTTTGCTGGCTATATGGTGTTCGTTAATATACTAAATCTCTTCCCGTAGGATCATAATGGAAAGTTAGTTGTTATGGTTTGTTTTTCACATTCAGATAGCGCCTTTCGGTCACTGCCGTTAAAAGTGGCATATATTTGTATCAAACTAAAGGATCGAAGACTTCGTCATGGTTTTCCTCCGAAGGCTTCTTTATTTTTCTCCCCTCCCTGGAGGGTTTCTTCCGCCAGCTTCATCCATGTTGGCTGATTTTTCCAGAAGATGGCCGGGTGTGGGCGAAGGAAGATCTTTTTGGGAGGGGCAGGAGAAAGAGTTGGAAAGCGTGGAGATTTGGGAAATAGAACAAATATTTGAATAATATGCTTCACTTAAACGATGTTGATCTATCTGCGTGTTCCCTTTCCGGAAGAAAGTAAAATCCGGATCCATGAAACAAAAGCGGATCTCCTTGAATCCATATGGTTTTTACCTACCCCTCGCTAAAGAGAGGTGCCATCCTGTGCAAACATGGGGTGGTGGTGCAGATCCTCAGCAGCAAATACGACATTTATATGGGATCCTCTCAAACCAACTCAGCTTGCACAGGGGCTGATGAGAATCGGAGATCTCTTGCTGCATGGCTCCACTATGGCACAAAAGCAGATCCAAGACATAACTGAATTTTTACGTGGGATCCTTCTGAAACTACCATTATTTTGTAGATCCCATCCTTGCTCACAGACTAAATTATAACAGTTCAGGCTCTCTTGTTGCATGGCACAACATGATACGCTGTATGGATCCTTGACGTGGGTTCTTGCTGACTCATGGGATTTTTACATACTGCCCCCTTGAAACTACTGTAATTAATGGATTTCAGCAGCAACCATAGGTTCAACTATAAAAATCTTGGAGCCTTCATTTCCTAGTGCCACCATGGCACAGAAACATGGATTCTAAGCACAGATCTGCATAGGATTTCTCCTGAAACCACAGTTAAATAATAGATCCAATCTGAGCAGACGTACTGAATGATAAAAAAAAAATGACTTACTGTGTGATACTACCTTGGTACAAAAGTAAGGATCTGAGGTACAGAGCCCTGTGTGAATCTGGATAATTTCTGCATGTCATTTATAACAAACCACTGCTTTAACTT